CATCATCAGGACCGGGCCCAGCACACGGCTGCAGCATGAGTTAGTGCCTCCCTCTGCAGAGTTCATGCATAAATCGGACTAATGGTCTCTTCCGTTTGCCCACCCTTTTGCACAGACTCAATCATTTCTGCTCTGTTTATGTTCAAACAGGAAATAGTTTGACAGTTTCGTTTCAAGTCGCAGATAAATGTGCCACACTTTTCGAGTGCTTCATGTTCCAACATGAGAGTTTCATTTAAAGGTAGCTGTAGGTAGTTTCTCAAAATCACTATCTTCTTATAAAATTAGACACTGTTAGACTCCAAGTGAGTATTTTACCTGAATGTGCGTATAGTCTATCCCACTTCTTATGAAATTGGATCACTTAAAAATATAATGTTAACTATTTCTCTTCATTATACTACTTTTCTTTTTGGCTTCATAAGTCTTTGATTATAATCAGTTAATTGTTTCTGTCCTTTCTTGTTTGTTTATTTAATTAAATATATGTAAATATAATAAAATAAACTGTTGCTAAAATACCAAAACCAACTCCAATTGTTGTAGTTTTACATTTCTATCACACAAAATGTATCATCTGTCATGTATTTTCGCAATTATTAAACCATTTGTTCTTTTAAACATCAGAAAACAGTAACAACTGCCTGCCACATTTCCCCAGAGCTCACAGTCACGACAATGACTTCATAAATTACTTCACTTGTGAAATAATTATTAGAACAGTAGACTAAAGAAACAATTGTTTAATCAAGGGTTGTTCATCATTAATACATTGGTTTATGTTTCTTCTTCAGACCATACAACGACCTGACGAACTGCTTGGAGTGGCTGGTAGGTTTAATGCGCTGTTATTACCCAAACCCCACCATCGAAGAGTTTTTCCTCACCATCCACACTATGTATTTCAACAACTGCTCTGTGGAGATTCCATTAGAATTAGAGGATGCACCTCAGGGCGTTGTGATCGCCCTCACTCTCATCCCTGTGAGCCTCATCCCCGTACTGGTTTATCTGGTGGTGTTCAAAAGCAAAGTCCAAGAGTAAGTCATAGATCCTCATAGTGTCTGTGCCTATTAGCTTTTATCAGAACTTATGTATGGTCCTTCTGTCTGTTGGGTATCGGTGGGTTTGTATATCAAATATTTAAATGTGGCTATTTGCTGGAATAGTGCGTCATTGTCCTTATGGTTTAAACTGTGCTCATGTCTTTTTTGTGTGCTTACATTATTGTGTTTGTTTTATTCTATTGCTAACAACCTGTCAGGGACTGCAGATGAAAATGTGCCTTTTTGGCTAAATATGGCACATTTACATGATGGACTAATATGCTAAGGTTAATTATCTTCTATAAATAAATACAAATCATGCTATGATGAGCCTCAACACAGTACATGTTATCATTTTGAGAATATGTGTATTTTGTATGATGCAATCTGGTAGGATATTATAGGTTAAGTTAGGCAGGTTTGGCCTGATTTTGACAAGCAACCAAAACTAGCTTACTGTATCATCAGATCTTTATATTTTGTGTTTATGTTAAGTGTGTAATAAATGTGTCTCTCTCAGGCAGCAGTGTCTTCGCCTTTATGTGTGTGTGTGTGTGTGTGTGTGTGTGTGTGTGTGTGTGTGTGTGTGTGTGTGTGTGTGTGTGTGTGTGTGTGTGTGTGTGTGTGTGTGTGTGTGTGTGTGTGTGTGTGTGTGTGTGTGTGTGTGTGTGTGTGTGTGTGTGTGTGTGTGTGTGTGTGTGTGTGTGTGTGTGTGTGTGTGTGTGTGTGTGTGTGTGTGTGTGTGTGTGTGTGTGTGTGTGTGTGTGTGTGTGCATACCTTTACTTTGTGAAACACTAAAGCAGAAGATTAGAATGATCATGTGATCATGTCAACTGTGTTCCCAAAATGAAAATGTGATATTCTTCACCTCCCTATTTACCATGAACTGATAATATAGGAAGATATATGTTCCTTGTCACATGATATGCTGTGCATGCAACATGTAACTCAAGACATAGACCTTGCACCATGACTCTGAAAAAAAGGGTTGTTGCTCTTTGAGGCTGTCTTCTGTACGTTTACATTGAACACAAAACACTTGCAGGATTAATTCATGCACCATAAATCCAGCCCCCAAGATGTGAAGATTGATAAAACTCTCATTGTTTGTCTCTTTAGTTTGAATCTCAAGCTAACATGGGGAAAACAACAGTCTTGCCGTATTTCGAAGATCACAAAACGTACCTATCAGCGCATCTAAAGCTCACTAATTTATATTTATGCATTATATCTTGCTTATTTAATTTGTACACAGTCCGAAATATAGGTTGTGTGTGGCAGTATCCAGTAAGTCACACCCCCCTGTCAAGAAATAGTCTGCATAAAACCAATAATGAGTAATTTCTATTATTTTGAAGGAGACACACACAAGGTGTTGATACAAAGGTGAGAATAAACTATTGTTTAAAAATGACTGTAAGCTGAATCAGATTTCACACGCTTAAGAACTGTGAATCACAGCTTTAACCACATACAGACACCCTTCTTAAATCTGTTGAAAACGACCCTACTTGCTGAACTGTATTCCATCTGAATCACCTTGAGTTTTTAACAGAGCCTACATTCTATTATTGTTTTTATTAATCTATTTTTCAAAAATACTACATTTCTGTGTATATTCTAGGATATACTGTATATTATCTCAAGAATCATTGAAGATCAAAATACATTTCACAAAATGTGTCAGCCTGATTTGGTACCGCAATCAGTTGCATTTCTTTTGCAGAAAGATTCAAGCGTTCAAGAGAAAAAAGAAAGTGCCCACATGGATAATTAAAGTGCATACACAAACAAAACACTGTTGCATCTTTGAAACTTCTAAGAAAAGTGTTTTGTATCTGCTTTGGTTCCCAGTAGTGCAGTGTGGGCTTTTCGGTGAGGGACAGCTTGAGTATCAGACTTACAGATTGTGACAGCAGTACCAGCAACTCATGAGCAACTCCTTGCTCTTAGAGGGTAGATAAACTTGATGCATGTTCTGTAATCTACTGCAAAGGCCCGGTGATGTTGATGCTTCTTGATAGGTTGTAAAAGATGCTGAAGATTAGAAGACGGAGGAAAAATTAGCACAGAGTCTCACTTACACCAGCAAGGCCTGTCCTCTGTATGCACGGGAATGAATGGTGACACACACACACACACACACACACACACACACACACACACACAGTTTCGTTCTTCACAGTCAAGCCCTCCACTTTCTAGTCGGCCTAGCAGGATTTCCAATAACACATATTTCTTCTTTTTGTTTGGTACCTTAACTAAAGATATGTTGGCCTATAATTAACACATAATCTCTCATAAAGGGTAAATGCACTGATCCTCATATAATATATTTGATGGCTCTAAGGATTTATATCATTGTTAAATTAACAGTTCTCCACAAACTCATAAACATATTTTCCTCTTTTGTTGTCTTGCTATTTATTAATGAAGATGACTTTGTGTTGGAGATATTGACCATTGAAATGTCTACCTTGTCTTAAAAATAATGAAACTAGATGGCACTTAGCTTGTGTTGCTCAAAGCGCCATAACAATACTTACAAAAACACAACAGCACATGTTTTTCCAGAAATCCTGACCTCTTTCCTTTAGATAATCCACAGAGAAAAACACCACTCTCAGTTTTGTGTAGGAACATTAATAGAGTCATTCTTGGCTGAATTCTAGCTTTGACATTATCGTGAGTAACCATGAGGTTTCTGGAAAGAGACATTGCTGTTTAGCTTTGAAATGCAAACTTTCTACTATGTATTGTTAAATAGAGAGGAGACCGGGGCTGTTAAAACATGATGGTCTGCGTTTCCTTTCTCACACATTTCAGTGGCATCGTGTTTGTTTAGAGCAGGTCTCTGCAGGGATGATTCTCCCAGCAGAGAAAGAGCATTGTCTCTCTTATCTCACACCCTCTGTTGCTAGATGACCTGCTGGCATCAGCATGTTTGGCATGTAATACAATTTCCACATTTTTGGAACGTCTTGTTTTTTTTGAAGAAATCAAATACACCCAGTGCTTGATCATTTTTTGCAAGGTAAATATCCTTCCAATGAGATTCCTCAGATATGCATACAATAAGGCCACAAGTACTAGGCACCTCAATGTTACATCCATATGTGATATTTGAACATCTCATGGGACCCATGGGGGTGTGCTTCCGGTTTCAGTCAACACTGATGTTGGTGATAAGGTCCACACCAAACAAACAGTGTCTGTACGGAGCAGGCTTACGGACATTATCATGAAACAGGAAAGTGACACACAGGATATGTTAAAAACATTCTCTTGTCTGAAACCTTTTAGGCGTTCAAAATGAAAAAGTTGTCTTTATATGACCCCACTGCATACACCAAACTATGTTGGTTTCTTGCTGTATTTGAATCACTTTGAGGGATCTGAAAAGACAAAAAAAGGTCAAATCATTCTTAACATATAAAAACTAAGATTTTAGATATGAACTGTCATTTAGGATTTCTTATCAAGTATTATGGTATGCTAAAATTAAGATTACACATCATTGCAATCAAGAGGTAAAAACCATGTGAACGAAAAAAGGCAAAAGAATATGTGAAGAGTCACTTAAAAAACTTCAAAAAGATATATTGCCACCTACTGGTTGACATTAGGTAAAATAAAATGATTTACGATGGAAATGAGTCATGTATTAACATTTTACTCTTTTAGAACTTGATTTATACATTTATCAAAACACCTCAAGGACACGCTTAGGCCTACATGTAAGAAACTATTTGTTGCTTAAAAGCCACACAATGAGACACAGTGGGGCCTTTCACTGCCCATTGTTAGGTGAGAGATAAGGTGACATCAAACAGAATGGGCCATTAATACAGTCTCTTTGCTCCTATTGGACGTAAAGCAGCAGGGGGGGGGCGAGGAGCTATAAATGTGAACTTATTAGTGATTCCTGCTACTTCAATGAGATGAGAATCAACCAGGACACATGTTATAGACATCAGACTGAGACAAGGCATCAACGAACTGAGGTGAGTCACAAGCAGCAGGATGTTTCATGTGGGAAATACATTAGTGGAGAAAGTATGTGTTTTTTGTTTTTTTAAGTATTCAGTTTAAGTATGACAATGAAAACATAATTGTTACAGTTAGCCTATAACTGCAAAAAGGTGTATATCAGAGTGCTATGCTCAGTAAAGGGTATTGAGTTTGCCAATTTAAGTAAGAGTGGCAAAATCACACTACTGTATTATAAGAAAAAGCATGGTTTGCATCATTGTATTGAAGGAGAAGATTTATTTTTGTAATCTTTTAGAGTGAATGTTAAGAGTTTGGGCAATGTTCTCTTAAGATTATGTCTACCAGTGATGAGAAAACATCCAAAATACACATCTAGGTGCAAACGTTGTCAAGTTGTGTCTTAGGTTTCTTTTAAATCAAGCAATAAAGCCTGCATATTTCAACATAACAGTAAAGGAAAATCTAAAAAAAGTAATGGAATGGGGAAGTTTTATGGCAATATCTGTTATTTTGAATGGTAACCCTATTCTTGTGTTTAACACCTTAAATCTGTGACAATGCATCCTATTTTCTAAGATGGAAAACTACACATATGTATGCATGTAGCGATCCCTGTTAAATATTATAGTTTTTACATGAATGTAGAGCAGTTAAAGTGGACATAAAGTTCTATAAAATAACAAATCTAGGACATGTGCCTAATTCTACTTACTTACTATGTTATATAATGAGGCTTTACACAATACATTATATTATATAGGATTATTATTACAATATGTCCAATGTATTTTAAAGTCGTAGTTGATTAAGAAGTAAAACATTTAGATACAATGAGTAAAAAGCCCTTGAAAAATGTAACTGGAGTTCAAATTTAAAAAAATAATACGCATATAAATCAGCACATTTCCTCTCAAACTGTCTGAACTGTCTGTGTACATCTACACTATAAACTATAAACTCTTTGATGATGATAACAGGAAAACCACAGAAACACTTTTACCGCCAAAGTTAAGAAGAAGTTAAAAGATGTTTTTGTATTTGGTGTGTTTTCGATGTCTCGACACAGAATACACACTCTGTTTGCCTGAGGATGTGTGGGAGGATTTACAACCAGCAGGGCATTTATCACTCACACCTGCTGGGATCCCAACCTAACTTTAATACAATTATCGATATCTATCTACTCTGCAATTACTTGGTTAAAATGCTATGTAATTCATCCATAACTTCAGGAGGGTTCTTGTTTCTCTGCTCCTCTAACACTCTCTTCAGGTAAAATGGTCGGTCATCAATGGTTCAATAATTCAAACTCCGGCTCAATCTCAGTGACTTCAGCCAAGCAGGATCAGGAAAAATGTAAGTAATATAACAATTTCATAAATGGCAACACAGTATTTAACATTCATGAGCTAATATTCATTTCATAAATGGTTTATAACACACTATATTGCAGTTTTAAGCAGATATAAACATTAATATATTTGTTAACAACTATAGAACACATTTTTATTTAAATAAAATATGTCTACAAATTATAATTTCTAAAATTCTGTTTCAGAAAATGGTTTCATATTTGCATACAACTACATTGTGCGAGAAAAAAACCAATAATTAAATGTGTTTATAATACCATTAGTTATCTGTTTCGATCAATTCAGGACTTTCTTTGTTTTGGCACTTTGCTGCACAAAAAACATTACATTTTAGGGAAATCTTTTGAAAAACAGGTTGTTTTTATGGAATGAAAGTAGTTTTTATTAAGAGGTTTGTTTGACCTTTTACAAAAAATATGATTAAAAGCATGATTGCATACACAATTGACTTGATAATAAGGAGAGTGTAAAGAGAAAAACTGAACATATAATACCTAAATAATAGAACTTTCCAGCAATGATTAAGAAAAATACCTCTAGAAAATGTGGTTTTCATTAATGCTTTTACGGGTAATTCAACTGCTTCTATGAATGATAATACATGTTTGTTTTTTTGTAGCTTTACCATGCCTGGGTACCAGACCAAAAGTGATACGTCACCGCTTATGTCCAGTGGTCGGTCTCTCATCACTCTGCTTGCTGCTCCTCGTGACCTGTGTAGCACTCTCTGTATTGCGTAAGTACAAGTTACTGATTTGGCTCTCAAATTAGTAAAGAGCTGGATTCATGACCTGTGACTAAAAGCAGAGGGAAACAGCTTTTATTATGTTATTGCTTAAACCGGCAATACCTAATATTGGCCACATGGTGACAGCAGAAACACGTTTACAAGCATAATGCTAATTATTTGGTCCCATATTTCTCACAGCCTTGATTGATTGATTGAAAAGTTTATTAACAGCTTGTATATTGGGTACAGTACAGTACAGCTCAAAACATACAATTGTTAAGGGGATGCAGACCAGAGAAAGACTTTCGTCTTGTTTACATCAGGGTCCCCCATTTCCAATTCATCATATCATTTAAGACAGTTACAGAGCAACATTATCAATCATTTGTAGACATTTTTGTGTCCACTTGACCAACATAAGTCCCAAATTCTCTATCTTTAAGCTCTGTTACCATCTTCTGAGGGAAATATCTGTCTCTTTGGCTGCTAAACGTTTTTGCCACGATGTTTATCAGCTCCCTTTGTCTCCTGCTGAACAGTGGCTTTTTACAGCTTTTCCCTGATAACAGCGCGGTATTCACTTTCAAAGGTGTACGCATGCAGGTTATCTATGTAGAAGTCTTTTGAGTTGTAATGATTCTCTATCTTTACCTTTCAGATAACAATGAGTCAGGCAGCAAGCCAAAATGGAAAAGTCTCCTTTTTGACTACCAGAACATGAGTGACACATACCTCAGCCTAACTGCAGCAAACAATGACCTGAGAAGAGACAATGAACTCCTGAAGGAGCAGAGCGCCTGGCTGCACGAACAAACCAAATCCCTCAACAGAACTTCAGCTAATCTGATGTCTGGTAATATCGCTTTGAGTTTGGAAAGCAGCCATTTTAAGGAGCAGATTGTGAATCTAACATCCACAAATTCACAACAAGCAGAAGAACACTTGCGGTTGGTGCAGTACACATCTGATCTTAAGGGGAATAAACTAAACATGTCTCAAACTATCACACTTCTGATAGACTCCAACACTCAGCAAAAGGAGGAGGGACACAGACTCTTTCAGATGAACAGCCTTCTGAGGGAAGAGCTTGCTCAATTAAAGGATAATACTCAAGAAATTCTGGAAATAAACAACAACTTTGAAAGGGAAGTTAAGAATCTGAGTGAGCAGATTGGAGCTTTGATGAACGACGACTGTGAGAAGGCATCAAAAGACAACATGCAGCTCCTGGAGAGATCAACTGAGCTTCAAGAACAAAACAAGAACCTGAGCACAGTGTTGATGAAAGAAAGGCAGGAAGCTGCAATGCAAGAGGAAACCAGGCAAGACGAGATGGAGCGAATGATGGTGGACATGCATTCAATAAATGAGGCTTTCCACTCCCTTGACCTCTACTGCCCTGTGGCAAATCACGATACAAAAGGTACTTATGAGTTTTATTTGTGTGTTTCTTGGTTTGTTTTTCCGTCTGTCGGTCAGAATTATGGAAATAATGTGTTCCCAACTGAGAAAACTCACTTGAACAGCAACTAAAAAAGTCTTCAACATTTTTTGTACATCTTCTGGCTCAAATTATGTTTCCTGGCTCAAATTATGTTTCCTCTGCTATTTGTTGTCAAGCAAATATTGGAAACGCAGTGAAACACACATTGGACGCATATGCACAATTGACCTTGGTGGAGGTCTATGGGACAGAGGAAGACAATACAGTAAATCAGGCTTCTAAACACACATAATATAATAAGTTTAACTTTTTTTCTACAGAACGAATTTGCAAAAAGTGTCAGGAGAGCTGGAGACTGTTTGAGACCAAATGCTACTACATCTCCTCCCGCATGCTCACCTGGAGTTCCAGCAGAGACTGGTGCCAGACACAGGGGGGTGACCTGCTCATCATTAACAGTGGACCAGAACAGGTAGAGTACAACAAGAACATGTGACAGCAGGACAGTTTTTCAGATATTATAAATTAACTAATTTTTTCCCCCTTTTTAGAGTTTTGTTTCGGAAAGCAGCAAGACTCTGGAGCCGAGCAGCAGCCGGCTGTGGATGGGTCTGACAGACGCAGAGGAGGAGGGGGTGTGGAGATGGGTGGATGGCAGCCTGGTTACTTCAGATGAGCAGTAAGTCAGAGCAAAGGGACACTGGGGTAGCACCTCTGGCAGAAATGCTTCTTTTTTCTTTTTTTGACCAGAATTGGCCCTAAACGGTGCTTGCTTCCGCCTATAAGTAATATAGTAACAGTGACATTTTATTTTAAATCAAGGTCTGTCACTGTCCAGCTTAAGAAAATATTTCTCTCTATTTACATTTTTTAAAACAGTTTTGACTGTTAACTACTGCGATTCTATATTTATGTATTCACTGTCCATCCAATATCTTCTAAAAACAGGACATTATTATTTTCCACTATTAAAGTATTTAGTTTTATTTCTACGTCATTAAGTGCATTGCAACAACAATAACAGTTTAAACTATTACTGAAAAAAATACATTAATAAATAAACAAAATATGTTAGTTGTTGGGTTGACAAGCACTGGTAATTAGGCTTCATTTCCTGTTTCCTGCTATTTGAATGAGTTGGATCAACATCGATTGACCAGCAGGAGAATGTAAGCCATTTGGTGTTGTAACTGACAGTAATAGTTTTAAATAAGACAGTGTGAGGATTGTAACATGTCTCCTCCTGCAGGTACTGGCTGAGCAGAGAGGGGCTGGAGGCTGAGCCTGATGACTGGAAGCTGGAAGACCCTCTGGGAGAAGACTGTGGACACATGGACAACACTGAAGACAAACTGCACTCCTGGATGGATGGTTCCTGTAAGACACCTTATAGATGGATCTGTGAAAAGAACACTTTTGTTTTCTAATTTCATACTTAAAATGTTTATATGAATGAAAAAAAATACTATATCTATTGAACGTACATTCTGCTATTCTACCACCTTTGATAGGTGGTAGAATATGTTGTCTTTCAAAAATAAAACAATTATCAGTATCCAGAGTCCAGTTGTACAGTGCTATATTGCAGGAAATAAAGACAGTATCTACAAAGAATAGTTTGTATTTGTTATTTTTTATTTCAGATTTTAGTATTTTAGTTTGTGTAACAGGCTATTATCATTCTTAACTAATAATAAACATCATAAAGTTGCAGCATTCATTTTGAAATATTGATCCTTCAAACAAGCATAAGTGCCTTTTTTGTTTATTTGTTTTCCTTTTGTCAAATTTCAAATCTGTACAATATAATACACAAGTTATATTATATAGTGCAACATTAAAAACTGACTCTTTTGTTGGAAGTAGGTACACGCACATTTTCACCATTTGATATATGCAATATAAAGTTTCCTGAGCTTACATTTCTGTCATTAGTTAATGCAGTTAGCTATGCAGGTATTTGGTCATGACACAAAGTATAGGGTTAATCACTCTAGATAAAACGTTATGGGATCACAAAGGTTTAATACATTTCATCATAATGTCATGAAAATCAATGCAATATTTCTTTACCTCATGGTGGCGCTAAATGCAAATCACTCAATCAGTCAATCACTGCAGACATTAGGATGAATGTCTGTACAACATTTGGGACAATCTATCTATAAAATTGACACTGACCTGCTGATGGTGCTGGAGGAAAAGTCTAGGGATTAACAAAACATTTTGGAACACGCCTCTTGACAAAACATTTCACTCAAAACCAAAATTGTCCCATGGCTAACCATATGAGTAGTCTATACAATTTGAGTAACTATTCCTGTTTGGTTTTTCTTCTCCTGCATAGTCGACAGCAAAGGAATCGTATTGATCCCACTACAATGACAGTCAACATCAACAAGACTGTAATCAAAAGGCATATCACATCTACCGAATAATAGGCATACCAGGGCATCTTATAAGACTCAGTGCGTAAATGTGAAGCTCCTTTATTCCTCATAACAAACTCAATCCAGAAAAGGCCCGTTTCCAGAGGATGCATCGGTTTATCCCGATGGAGAGCCGACAGACGCTTCATGTTATTTCTGTAGGAGGGATTGTGTATTACCTCTTGTATCACTTCCAAAAAGTTCTGACGAGTCAGTTTGGTGGCATCCAACACCTTGGCGGCTCCTCGCGCCTCCATTCTCAAACAGTTCTCAAACTGGTCAAACAGAAGGGGGATGCCTACGATTGGCACTCCATTGTAGATGGACTCGTAGATCCCGTTGGTGCCACCATGAGCCACAAAGGCTTTAATCTTTGGGTGACCCAAGAGGTCGTTCTGGGGCAGCCATTTCATCAGAAGGGTGTTGTTCCCCAAATTGCTGGGGGGCTCACCAGCATGCCTCCATATGACCTTTTGAGGAAGTTGGGCAAAGGCAGCAGCAATTTCAGAAGTGATCTCTACAGGTAAGCCTTGAACCAGCGTACCAAGAGACATCAGGATGAATCCGTGCTCTCCTGAACTTTGAACAAACTCTTCCAGCTCTGTTGGTAAAGGTTTAGCAGGCTGACACTGAAAACCACCAATGTAGGCGATGTTTGGCATGGTAGGTCTGGGGAATTCAAAGACAAAGTCCACCCTCATGAGCCAGATGTCTGCTCCTTGTAGAAGGTGATAGAAGTTCACATCTGGACCGAAGTACCTTTCTACCAGTCTATCATAGTGAGGGCACACTATTAACTTGTCAATGCATGTGTTGAAAACATAATAGAATGTGTTCTTGAGCCTTTCTCCAAAGTTCATCTTATCCGACATGGCATTTCCTGAAGTTGGAACATAGGATGTTGGAGATGGTGCCACCACAAAATGGCCTTCTCCACTCGTGATCCATCTCACGTTAAAAACTGTTGGCAGCTTCAGTTCATGAGCCACCAGAACTCCAGCAGGCAAACCCGGGTCGATGAGAACCACGTCAAATTGAGTGTCACGAATACTCTGCATTAGAGTTTTGTTCTCAAACATTTCTACCGTCAACTGGCTGGCCTGTTTGTGAATGTTCGACAGTGCACCAAGCATTTCCCAGTAGAACTTCACAAAGGTGATTAGAGATGCCCCCTCTTTTTGAATTGTTAGCATCTTGAACAGGAAGGTTACAAAGAAGTCCTGCTCCTCTATGTCGATGGCTTCTGGTAAGGTGACAGTGATGGAGCTGTAATGAGGAGAGTCTTCTTTGACGTACCAGCTCGAGGCTGTTCGGACAACAGTGATCTCATGGCCTCTGGCATGGAGGCCCTGGATCAGGAGTTTCATGTTGACCCAGTGGCTGCCGTCCACCGGGAACACCAGAATCTTTCCTCCATGGACGCTGGGGCTGGACAGGAGGGTCAGACTCACCACCAGAAGCAGAAGGGAAACACCTGGGACGCTCCCCATGGATCAACCCTAAAGGAAAAAACAAACATTCAATATTTTTGTATAATACTTTTGTGAAATGTTTCTTACATCATTGTCGGATGTGGAATGGGTGAGTTAAAATGTGTTTATGTGAAAAATGTGTTCTATTGTTGATAGCCATTAACTTAGTTGTGGTGTATTTGATTGTTTCCAAGTCCTTTTCAAATGCCTCTCTTACAAACTACTACTAATGTCTTCCAATTTTGTAATTTCTAGTAAATGAATGCCCAAAATGGGTTCTAGTCAAAACTATACTTAAGGGTTTTTAGACCTCTAAAAGGGTGTTAATATTGGACATGTAAATAATGTATGTTTATCATTTGCTACTTTTTCCCCAGCAACTGATAAAGGTTGACATGTTTCCATACTTAAAGGACAAGGTGTCACACTTGATGTGTTAATCATCTCTATTGAATGCATGTCCCACTATCAGGTGGAAATCACAACAAACACTGACATCCCTCTACTGCACTGAGTCAACTATGTTCTGCAGAGGGTTTTATATTCTAGTAAACATTGGCGTTACAATACAGTCAAGCAACTATTGATTAACAAGTTCAAATGTATACAATTGTGGATGTTCTACATTTGCCTATTGCCAGTCTTGCATATAAAAATGCAAATTGTATAATGTGCCTAGTATTCATTAGGTGAAACCAGAAGTAAATGACTGTTTGTATAGCCACAGTGCCTGTACTAAAAGAACACCCTGAAATGTTCAAAGTCCAGAGGAATGAACTAAGGCTAACTAAAGCCTGCTGCTACTATGATCTCTAATCTGATCCTCTGCACTCAGCTGGGACTTACTACAAGGCAGAAACACTCTCTATTCATAACATTCAGAAGAAAACATGCCCTAATAATGTGTCTAGTTTTCTTTCTGCATGTCTATTGTTGAGAAAGTTAAAAGGGAAACCTAACATTGTACACTTTCTCCTGCAGATCAACCCCAATCCTGCACAAGTTATTCTCAGCAGTGTCAAGTAAGTATCTTCTTTTCAGTCAAGGCATTCTTTAAATCAGAATCAGAATCAGAATACCTTTATTAGTCCCACAGAGGGGAAATTTGCAATGTTTTGTAGATAAAGAAAAAGTGTTCAAATTTACCTTTAATCCCTGAAATAGTGTAGAAATGTTTTCCTCCGGATAAGTAAAGGCCAGCGTCTGCATGGAAAAGAATCCAAACTCCAAACCCGATGAATGTGTTACATAAAGAGAAGAGGGTGTTGGGGGAGGGGGGAGCAACACATGAACTTCAGGATGTGAGTATTTTGGAGGGGAGGAAAGGCAAAGTTTTCCTACAAAGCCCACCCTCTTTCTCTGGGCTGCAGACAGACTCAAGGGAAAGTAACACAATACTGGATCAAAACAGTCTTTTGGTGACCTGCTGTGACCTACGAGCTCATGCTGCAGAAAGTCATTTTAAATGGACCCAACATCCTTGAGTGCTTTATATTCTTTCTAATATCTTGACTTAATTAAATAAATGTAGGTTTTGTTTGTGTTTGCCTGTGGGAGCAGCACATGAGCTGTAAACACATGAGCACCATATAAAGTGTTATCATGGATAACCCTAAATAACCCTGGCCTTTATCTACAAAAGTCCCTAAAAGATACACATACCAACCAGGAAGAAACTCAAAATGAAACATAAATTAACAACAAAAGTCCCAAAAATATTACAAAGAGGTGCAAAACAACCACAAACTGACACACAATTCCAAAACAATGAAAACATTAACATTTGCACTAGGCTGCAAATCTCTCTGTAGCTAAAAAGACTGGAATGCTGGCTCCGGATTAAACTGACCCGAGGTTATCTCTTTGCTCTGTGCGTCTTGGCTTCACGAAAAACGTAATTGTACCCCAATCAGTACACATTGTGAAAGAGTATGAGAGTGCCTGGGTATACAGAGCAGTTGGATTCACTCCTGTTCAGTCAATAATCATCTTTTTCAACCATCTTTAAAAAAAGTGTTCCAAATTTGGTATGTCAAGGAATACAAAAAGAATCAGGACCTGTATGTTGGTTACATTTCTGCTAAAATAAAATATCAAGGCTGTCTTATTCCTGTATTTAAAAGAGAGTGAAACCAACCATGTGTTTGTCTTTACTTTGTGACTTCCCTCTTCTGTACGGTAACTCGCTGCTGTTGATGCAAAAGTTATTCAATCAGGAGGAAACAGTGCAATGGTTGGGGACAATTTTCAGCGTCAGATTAAGTATGCAATAATGTTACTTTCCTGCAAAGTAGTAAGTATTTAATATGTTTTTAACAGGGAATGTGTAATAATTGATTGTAGTTTAAAGTAAGTGAGGCTGCATTTTATTACTGCTGGAGTGTGTGCAAACAAGGGATGACTGAAACTAATGTTGAAACTACTTCTGCTTTCACCAAAAGGTCATGTCTTATTGAAAAGGAGAACAGCTATCAGTACGTTCAAGCCTCACTTTATCACACGGACACTGTATGAAGGCATGAATCATATCTGGACATTTGACTGCTGGATTTCACTACCAACTGGTCTTTATTTAAATGGCACATCACTTCGCTCTGGCTGTGTTCATCCTGGCCTTCACTGGATTCTGGAGCATGTGTGCAGCTGATGTTGGAGACTTTGCTCCATGCCTTGAGAGCCTCTATAGGTCCTGGCCTCCTAAAGGTCTGGTGGGGACCCCGATCTGCCAACGGTATCAAAACCAGTACCGCTTTGCCACGCTGTACAGTCGGCCACGCCGCACTCCATGGTTCTCGGCCTATTTGTACGCTACACCAGAAGGAAAGAGACCCCACACATTCTGGAAGTATGAGCCACAGGTAAGTCTAAAATTGTGCCAATCATGATATCATAAAAAAGTTATTATGATTCTATAAAATATTTATTTTAAAGTTGGGCTATTTGTCTTTCTATTAAGACTTAACAAATATTATTATTAATTCAACTACTTTTACTATCGCTGGATGGGAATTGGATTTCTCAACAGCAGCTATAAATAAAAATAAAATAAGAGAGATGTTTATAAAAAATATTGAGAAGTTTAAATGTGCACATTGTACTACAATATATAACAAAAACTAATAGGTAATATATATATATATTAAAATACTTAATATTTGCAGTAAAGTGTTAAACAGTCACATTCTTATTTATATAATTTTACTGGTTTATCAGTATTATTCATTTTTCAAAATGTCCCAACTTCTGTCTTTAGTTCTATGACACAGTATTGCACTGAAACATGACATTATTCTGGAAAAAAAAGTAGGTACTCAAGAAAAAAAGAAGACTAAAAACGAACAAACACATTTGACTTGTTTGGTGTACCGTTGTGTTCCAGTTAAGCATACTTCACACACAATAAAAACATTATTTTTAAGTAAATTACAAAACAAATGAGGAAATGAGCCCCAGTAAAAGGGAACTGGTTCATGTTTGTACTGTCGGTCTATTAATTCCCCATGGTAAAAATAAACTAGTGCTGAGTACAGGAAGCTGTTAGCATGACCGACACCTTTGCAAGTAGTATATTAGTAAAGCTTGCCTCTTGCTTGATTTGCTTGGCTTTTTTGGGCCAAGTTTGAAATTGTTGGGAGGTGAGACACTGATATGTTAAGATTAGAATTTTTAAAATCTTAAATGCATTGAGCGGCGCAGAAAAGAAACACATTTACCATAGAAAAAGTACTGTTTTGCTGGTGAAATGCATGTGTTTGTTTTAAGCAACAATTCAAGCTAGGCTTTTTATTTGTATTTATTTTTTAGCTAGCTAAGTCTTTTTGTTGCTTTAGTGATGTCCACATATGTTCTAAAAGCAGCTTCACTCCTTGAGTCAGTGAATTCCTATAAATAAATGACAGTTTATCATATGGTCTACATGCAATGTTCCTCACTTTTCTCTTCTGACCCCCACCATGAACAGTTAGCCTACCCAGGAGCTGATGGAAACATGCTCTCCTTCCCTCTGGGCCATCTGGATCAGAACGTGGTGGAAAGCCAGGGAGTGGAGTTGGACTACATTAACTCCACCTATTCTCGTGGACACATGAACCCCAGCCTCCACCACAAGAGCCACGAGGACCGCGCCTCTACCTTCACCCTGACTAATGTGGTTCCTCAAATGGCAGGCTCTAATGATGGACCATGGAAAGCCCTGGAGCAAAACGTCAACAAAACCTTAGGCACCTACTGTCTCGGAGACGCCTACATAGTGACTGGCATCATCCCTTACCAGAGCGACGAGCCCTGGCTCAGGAATCATCGTGTAGCCGTGCCTGAGTATATTTGGTCCGCCTACTGCTGCCCAAACTACAACAACAGTCTACCAAAAGTACTGAAGGATGCTTTTCCCACGTATGCTGCCATTGGACGCAATGACTGCAACAGCACAGAGGAGATTGTGCCAGTAAGCCAGCAGGCTAAGAAACAGTTCAGAGGGTATGATGTGAGAACAATGGCACTGGAAACACTCGAAATGTATCTGAAGGACAGATTCAAAACTGTTGTCAGTGTTTTTTACGAGCAGTGCTCTCAATCCAACTGATTTTGCAGACACAAATACAAAAAAAAATCATGTATTTAAAATATTGTTGCTAATAAACTAAGAAAATTGCTGATGCATTGTTGCACGATGACCTTACATTAACGTGTCTTTGATCAAGAAAAATGGTGATTCTTTCTCGGAAACTTTCCACTGGTGATGGTTTTGTGGAAACAAATAATGTTCACCTTTATGTGTAGCATTCATGCTACTTTCAACCTGTTCGCAGTGTATGTTCATGTTCTTGCTAACAGTAAGATGATTGATAACCTACCTCTCTCATTTGTGTCTGTTTAATAAATTGAGTTTGGGAGACAGTTGTTTTAGCGTTTAAAAAAGCGGGAGACAGCTAGCCCAGTTCCCTCAATAAAAAAACAAAACAAACATCTTTACTTGATATTTTTACACTTAGGTTTTCATCCAGACCAAATAAAAAACATACCACACATTCATATTAGAAGTGCAGATTTGGTTATGACTGAGCAGAGCCATGCTAGCAATTTCCCTCTGTTTCTAGTCTTTATGCTAAGCTAAGTTTGCTGTAACTTGATATTTACTCCAGATATGAGAGTGGTATACATTTTCTCATCTAACTCTTGGCAATAAAGTGAGTTGCTGTGTGTGTAAATGCTATAACTTGACCTCAGATAATTCATCTCAACTTAATAAACTTAACAGAATGTATAAACATTGCTACTTTTTATATGATGTTATTCCCTTTATCTGAGTACATACGTGTGCATTAATTCTGAGAAAGGTTTGAAGGTGAGCATGCTCTGAATCCTTGTAACCACTAGATGGTGACTTCGTGCAAACCATGTCGATCATATGCAGCTTTTGCAGGCTGCACACACTGTAGGGTTTGTTGAAAACTACATACAAAACCTAATCATCTCTGTCTTTCATCTTATTATTTACCTAATAATGTCAAAGATATTTCGTTTCATATTAAAAAAATAAACTACACTTCAACTTTGTATGTCACATCAATTGGCTGCTGATTGATATAAATAAGTTACATTTGTGCCATGGTAGAGATACCACATTTAGATAAACTAAAGATTAACTTGTTCCACCAGTTGGTCCCGAATGTTCTGAAGCTTTGCCAAGACCTTTTGTAATGATCACTAAGACACACATTTATTTGTATATCAGACTGGATTTATTGCATGAATAGATGATACAGTAGCAAAGGTGTTAGGGCTAAGCATATTTAATAAAACACACTGCCCATCAAACTGTGTTTTGATATAAATGAATTACTGGCTTAGTGATGCTGCTGGTTCATTGTTGCAGTGAACAGCTTGTCCCACACCTCCACCTTCAATATGGACCTGCCCATCGGGGACATGGTAGCCTTCAGGTCCAATGTTGCGCCCTGGAACGTGAGATCAGAGCCATTGGACTCCTGCCTCACAAAGGCCTTCGGTTCTTTGTCGTAATACATCTCTTTGTACAGCTTCTCATCGCACACTTTGGACACGGGGTAGATTGCCAAGGCGAACCAGTTCTTGTAGGAGCTATTATCGTAGGGCACAGAGAACATTATGGCTAATTTTTCTGTAGGGGCGTTGCTATTTCTTGCAAACAGGTCGTAGGTCATGACGCCCACAGCGCCGGTGGCTTTGGAACTGGTCTTGCTGAAGTTGCACACCTCGGTTTTCAGAGGGCGCACGGTGGGCTGGGGTGGGCTATGGCAGTTCCCACTATCCAGGTACACCCTTTTATTTAAAGGCAAAAGAAGAACAAAATAATAATTAAGAGCAAAAACTGGATAATTCATCTCTAGTTTCTTTTTATCAGGCTACACACATATTTGAATTAAGATGCATTATTTTGTTAAGAATACTCTAAACCATATTGTCTTTTAGATTTGCACTTACTTTGGGTCTACCAGGCAAAAGCTGTTGGTGAGGTTGGTGATCTCAATGGTGACATTTCTGCTGCTCTTGAGGTTAGCAGCCAATGCCTCTGCTGATTCACCCATGTTGTTACTTGTAAAGGCTGCAGCAAAGCAGAATTACATTGTATTACAATGCAGTGAATACAATTAGCTGTGAACAGTGTCCATAACAAATTATGCACAGTGCTAAATGCTACATAAAAACTATATTTTTCATCAAACCTCCAAATACAGCCCAGTATTAAACAGGCTTACCTGTCCGGATCCTAGGTGTGTTGCTCGCTCGGGCAGTGCCAGATTTGAAACACAGGATTCTCTCTTTAGATCATTCTTGTTTGGAAATGTGTGACACAGTAACCCCACCCAAATGTGTTTCCACCCACAGTACGCACCTACTCCTTGTTACTGGCTTTTTGTCCTCGCCTCTCGCCTCTCACCTGAGGTATGTAGACAGAGGCTCAAAGACAGGGTGTAGCCAACAGTTGCAACATAAGGATGGTATTTTTTTTGTTTTCATAATGTGTATTTTTGCCTAGCTACGATCAAGTTTGAGCTTCATGCAAGAAGCGAACAAACCTGTTTCTTTCATATCCGTGATTTATTCCTATGTCCTTAGTAACCATGCAGGAAGCAAAGTCCTCTTATTTTGGTACCCATCAACCATTTGGTTCTTATTTTTGTTAATACGCTTTGATTTCTTGGATTCCCCAATGTTTTCTTATTATCGGTATATTTGGTGGAGAGCACTTTTACCAAGATAATAAAAAAACATTTTACCGTCAACAAAATGATTGTCCAACCCAATGGACATTTTTTTCATTTTGTTGAGGGGAAAAAAAGAATCTGCATGCACATAATAATCACATTTAGAATATTTAATCTTTTATTGCACTTGTTAGCTAAAGGAATACTCTTGGTCCATTGGTCCAGTTAAGACTATAAAAACCATTGGAGGATAATACGTTATGCTTTCAGCTTCTGTATAACTTACATACTGCTCTTAGATGCTCTTTGATTTTCCTGCAACACCAGTACTGATGCTCTGAAAAATCTCCCGTTAGCTAAACCTTTTTCCAAATCTTTCCAATTTGCATGTGCCAGAGAATATTCACTTTGCACTACAAATGCCCAGCCCTTATATAGTGTTTAGGTGCATTGTATGATAATACTCACATTTCTTATCAAGTAGGATTTATCATTCGGCCCAACTGGATAAAGCAGATTTAGATTGTTAAGATAATGTAGTGCATCTGGAGTTGACTTGCTTAAGAAAACATTGCTGCATAAGGCAGATTGTTTACCATCTCATCGTCTCATTATGCACCACAACTTTTATCTCTGCCGTGATGCGGTTTTTCCTGTCTGCATGAGGACAATAACATGCTGCACCTCTAAACGGCATGTTGCACAGTCTGGCTGTGTTTATACTTTTATAAATCAAAGTGAAGTATGACTCATGTTATTTCTGCTGAGGAGATTTCAATCTTTTCATTGCCTGTAAACATTTGTGACCATTTTTGATGGCTCAAATAAAAATGAAAAATGGTCAAGGACAAGAATTCCATTGTATTGTTTTTTATTCATTTAAAGCACTCATACATTGACAAACCAATTGTATGTAGGTTTCAGGAACATCTGCTTCAACTGTGTTCTTACATTTTATTCCACACCAATGCACTCATTACAAACATTCAACCGCCCATCTTGTCGTACAGCTCCAGTTTGATGATGGCTTTGCCTTCGTCGGACATGCAGGCCCTCAAATCCACCATCCTCCCCTTGTACGTCACCCCTGAGCCGTCGGCCTCGTGGCGCAAAAAGTTGGTGAAATCCTTTTCGTTGTACATATGTTTGAACAGTTTCTCGTCGCACTCTCTTGTGTGCTCGAAGATGCCCACCCCAAGCCAGTTCTTGTAGAAGTTGTAGTCGTACGGCACCGAGAACATGATAGCCATCACCTCGTTGCAGTGGCGGTTGCGCATGTCGAACAGCTCGTAGGTCAGGACGCCGACGGCACCCGATGCCGTGTGGTCGTCTTTGATGAAGGAGCACACCTCGGTCTTCTGGGTACGCACGGTGGGCTGGGGAGGGCTGAAGGTGAAGCCACTCTCCAAGTGCACCCTGCAGGGTAAAAGAGATGCAGTGATGAGTGGACCAAAACGTTTTCTTACCCCAAACGCCAACCCCAATAACCCCAAATCTTACCCTAACCCTAACCTCTACTCAGGTTGTGCTTATACCACAATGTCAAATTACTCCTTTATAAGTGGGCTAATGCTCTGCACAAAAAAATCCTCTTTGAGTAAAAGTGCAAAAGTGTCAAATGTGTTATTAACAGTACTGGTAATTTCGCTCAATGATTCCCAACCTAGGTGAAGGTGCTTTAAATCACAGTATATGTAAGATGTATTAACTGTATACCACAGGTAGTCATGCATGCATGGATTCAAGAACATTGAAGGAATTTGATAATCACTGTCTTCATTGGTTAACACACAAATTAGAAAAAACTGTTCACGCTGTCTAACAGATTCTTACTTGGGGTGGACGAGACAGTAGGAGGAGCTGACATTGGTGAGCTCGATGGTGCAGTTGCGGTTGGTGGTGAGGATGTGGGAGTGGGCCTCTGCAGTCTGCATGATGACGGCGGGTGGAGATTGCTAACTGATGGATGTACAAAAAAAGAGTTTAGAAAAACAGAAACTGCTGCTGATTTAATGTTTGTTAACATAGATTTGTTTTCCTTCTTACATATTAGCTGATTGTTTTATTCTAGTGACACAAGCTGCTTAAAGGCATGCAAACAATTGTTGTCAACACCAGGGATGGGTAGTAACGAACGACATGTAATTGGGATTACGTAATCAGGTTACAAAAAAAACTGGAACACATTTCATAAATTGTGAATCAGTGAAAGTTACGTTGTCAATAACTATGAAACTATGAAATATGATTACTGCAACATATTTTTGATGATTTCTCTAAAATATTGCAATTTTAAATAATGCAAATATTTTCAATAAACGATGCTATTAGTGCAATATTTTAAGTTCTCAATTCTAAACATAAATATATTTGTTTGTAAGGGATAACTACTAATTTAATGTGAAAAATGTCATATGTATTCAGTAACTGACATCATTTAAAATGAATACCCAATGCTAATGCTAAGCACTGATCAACACATACTGTGACATGGGAACGAATTACAGTGCATAGAGGACATCCAACATGACACCAACCCGGCACAATGCTTCACTTGACACAAAAAATAAAGAACAAAAGCCATATCTACTGAGAAGTATTTCAAAATATGATCTAATAATATTAGCACTGGGAATTATTTTCTTCAAAGTAAATGCAGCTTTGGTGAAAACTTCATATTAATCTGAAAGTAAATGTACTTACTTTACTTTATGTGACACACGGGATGGCAGAGAGTCCTCTGAAAACAGGTCAGACTTTGGTTCAGAGACGAAGACAAAGTCACACCCTCACAGGGGGAGTCACCCTTCACACACACTGTAGGTGTGTCTGTGCTGACATGCAATACTGGGTATGTGTGACAGTTTAAGGGAAGACACTACAAGTTAGGGAGGCCAAAGAGTTACAATTTCAACCAACTGTTACCACCATTAATCGTTCAGTTGATTACTTTCATAAAGGCACATTTAAGATAAGATAAAGATAAGTTAAGATGATAAGATGTACTTTATTGATCCCAAATTGGGAAATGTTTGCGTTGCAGCAGCATAAAAAAGAAGGCATTTGTACAACAGGTTTCCTGAAAATTGTTAAATTTGTATATGTGTTAATTTACATATACGTTGACAGAACATGTAACAAAGTTAAAAGACTGAAATGTGTATTTTGGGTTTTTGTGTATTTGCATTTATCTAAAATAAGACATGTTATGGAAGCAAAATAGCCCAAAATCAAAAATGTAAATAATTGTGTGTTTTCCTTTTCAGTGTATGTATTTGAAATAGACAGTATAAAAATATGTGTGTTTAATGTAATATTTAGAAATCTTATCATGTCTTTGGCACAAGATGGAAAAGTA